TAAATGAATTCAGCAAAGTAGCGGGACACAAAGTCAACATGCAAAAATCAGTTGCATTTCTATCCACTAACAATGAATGATCTGAAAAGTAAATAATGGAAACAATTGCATTTATTTAATGTGGGTTTTTTAAAATTTATTTTGAGAGAGACAGAGCACAAGCAGGGCAGGGGCAGAGAGAGAGGGAGACACAGAATCCGAAGCAGGTTCCAGGCTCTGAGCTGTCAGCACAGAGCCCAAACCCGCAAATGGTGAGATCATGACCTGAGCTGAAGCCGGATGCTCAACCAACTGAGCCACCCAGGCACCCCAGAAACAATTCCATTTAAAATAGCATCAAAAAGAATACTTAAAAGTTAGTTGAAAAGGTGAAAGGCTTGTAAAATAAAAAGTACAAAACACTGCTGAAAGAAATTAAAGATGACGTAAATAGACATTAACACATTCCTTGTTCATGGATTGGAAGACTTAATACTAAAATATCAATACTACCCAGGTTGATTTATAGATTCAGTGAAATCCTAATCAACATCCCAGTGATGTTTTTTGTGGAAATAGAAAATCCCATCCTAAAATTCATATGGAACTTCAAGGAACTCCCAATAGCCAAAACAACCCTGAAAAAGAATGAACCGGGGGGAAAAAAAAGAAAAAGAATGAACGGAACTGGAAGATTCACACTTCTTCACTTAAAACTGACCACAAAGCTATAGTAATCAAAATAACATGGTACTGGCATAAAACAGACATAGAAACAAATGGAACAGAATAAAAAGCCCAGGAATAAACCCTTACATCTAAGGTCAAATGATTCTTAACAAGGATGCCAAAACCACTTAATGAGGAAAGAACAATCTTTTCAACGAATGATGCTGGGAAGGTAGAAATCCTTATACAAAAGAATGAAGTTGGACTCTTACACCATATAAAACATCACATCAAAGTTAATCAGGGACGGCTGGGTGGCTCAGTTGACCGTCCGACTTGGTTTTGGCTTGGGTCATGATCTCACAGTTTGTGGGTTCGAGTCCCACCTGCTTGGGATTCTCAGTCTCTCCTGCTCTCTCTGCCCCTCCCCCCAACTCATGTATGCCTGCTGCCCCTTGCCCGCTCAGGTGTGCATTCTCTCTTAAAATAAATCAATAAACTTTAAAAAATGTTAAAGACCTTATCTTTCTCTTTCTGACTTCTTTCATTTAGCATTATACCCTATAGGTCTACCCATGTTGTTGCAAATGGCAAGATCCATACTTTTTATGGCTGAGTAATATTCCATTTTATGTACATACCACATCTTCTTTACCTGTGCATCTACTGATGGACACTCGGGTGCTTCCACATCTTGGCTATTGTAAACAATGCTACAATAAGCATATGATTTCACTCATGTATGGAATTTCAGAAACAAAACACATGAACAAAGAAAAAAAAGCGACAAATTAAAAACTCTTAAATATGAAGAACTGCCAAAGGGGAGCTGGCGGGGGGATGGGTGAAATGAAGGGGATTAAGAATACATGTATTGTGAGTCACCGCATCTCTTAGTCTGACTTCATGCCAGAGGAAGTTAACAGAATTTCACCACTTCTTGCTCAAGAACTTAATGAGGCTCCTATGATGTTACCCAACAAGAAACCACCTGTGTCTTGGGGCGAGTTTGGTTGTGCGGAACCATCTTAAACACTGCAGCGCGTCTTCATGGTCCCGACCTGCCACGTACTAAAAGCCAGAAGCACAACCTACCCTCTTCGCTGGAACACCAAGGATCCTTCCAAACGTTTCTGCGCACCCCTAGGAGGACGGCCCTGCCCCAAGGTTAGGACCTGAATGTGAAACCAGAAGATAGTCTAATGTTGTTTACCCTTCCCTGCCTCCAAACGCTCAGACTTATATCTTCCCTTATTTGGATGGTGTTTGAGCCACTCCAGGAATATAAGTTCTGTTTTGGCTAAAAGGCCGCCACCACTTTCTGGCTGGGTGACCTTGAACAAGCTAGCTAAACTGACAGAACTTCAGTTTCATCTGCAAAGTAGGGAGGAGGCTCACTTAAGTCAGAGGAGTCAGCTCTAGTGCTGAGTTCCTTCCTGAGCTTCCCCGCCCTCTCCCTTTCCTCATGGCTCGGAGAACACGGGGAGGTCCCTGCCTCATTTCCTCACCACAAGGTTACGGAGTGAGGATGTGCAAAGTAACGAAGCCTGTGGGGAACGGTGGAGTCCCAGCTTCAGTGTAACAACCTCTGATGGTGCAGATGGAGAGGTGGGTGCTTGGCTCCTGGCAGGATACGTGGGTGGCTTTCCAATGTTATAAGGAGAATCTTGTTCACACCGGCGCTCAGCACCATTTGGGTTTACCAAGCATGAAATAGAAGTCTTGGCCATTTTGCAGTATCTTGTACATTAAGATCCCTTAATAATTTACAGAAGGTAGTAACATCAAACATACAATTTTACTTAGAGCAAATAAAACAGACTCACTTTAAAGAAAAGTACACTTATTGTGATGAGCACCGAGTAATGTATAGAATTTCTGAGTCATATTGTACACCTGAAGCTAATATAACACTGTAAGTTAGTTAGACTGCAATTAAAAATTTTAATCAAAGGCCTAAATGTAAGACCTAAAACAGTAAAACTCTTAGAAGAAAATATCGGGCAAAAAGTTCACAGCATTGGATTTGACAACGATGTCTTGGATATGACACCAAAGGCTCAGGCAACAATTTTAAAAATGACTGAGGCGCCTGGGGGCTCAGGCAGTTGAGCGTCCAACTTCAGCTCAGGTCATGATCTCCAACTCGCAATTCGTGAGTTTGAGCCCCACATCAGGCTCTGTTCTCTGTCCACCGCCCCCCCCCCACACACCCGCTCACACTCTCTCTCACACAAACTAACATTTAAAAAATATTTTTAATAAAAAATGATTTAAAAATGGCTTCAATCGGCATTTCTCCAAAGAAGACATATAAATGGCCAATAAATACACGAAAAGACACTCAACATCACTAATTAGCAGGGAGACACATATCAAAACTAGAATAAGATACTGCCTCACACTCATTAGAATGGCTGCTATCAAAAAACCAGAAAGTTACAAGTGTCGATGAGAATGTAGAGAGATGGGAAGCTGGGTGCACTGCTGGGGGGAATGTAAAAATGACAGAGCTGCTCGGGGAAACTGTATGGCGGTTCCTCAAAACCTTAAAACTAGAATTAACATGTGACCCGGAAATTTCACTTTTGGATACAGACCCCAAAGAATCGAAAGCAGGGTCTCAACGAGCTGTCCGTACACCCTTGTTCATAGCAGCTTCATTCGTGATAGACAACATGTGGAAACAACCTGGGTCACCATCGGTGGGTGGACGGATAAGCAAGATGGGATGGATACACATGACAGAATACTATTCAGTCTTAAAAGGGAAGGAAATCTGCCATATGCTACAACATGAGTGAACCTTGAGGACACTGTGTGGAGTGAAGTGAGCCAAACACCGTATGCTTCTACTTGCATGAGGTGCTTGGAGTAGGCCAGGCTGTATAGACAGCAAGTAGGATGGTGGTTGCTGGGGTGAGGGGATGGGAGATTCTCATTTAGTGGGTACAGATTTTTAGTTCTGAAAAGTGAAGAGAGTTCTAACTTAAATAAAACAACAACTATATATGTAAAAAAAAAAAAAGGGGGGGGGCACCTGAGTGGCTCAGCCGGTTAAGCATCCAACTCTCGACTTCTGGCTCAGGTCAGGATGTCATGGCTCCTGAGTTCAAGCCCCAAGCTGGGCTCTGCACTGACAGTGCACAGCCTGCTTGGGATTCTCTCTCTCTTTCTGCCCTGCCTCTCTGCCGCTCATGCTCTCTTTCTCTCTCAAAATAACTAAATAAACTTAAAAAAAAAAAAAAAAAACTATGAAAAGAGCTCTGGGGGCATCTGGGTGGCTCAGCTGGTTAAGCACCCAACTCTTTGGCTCAAGTCATGATCTCACAGTTTGTGAGATCAAGCCCCAAGTGGGCTGTGCACTGACAGCGTGGAGCCTGCTTGAGATTCTCACTCTCCCTTACTCTCTGCCCCTTCCCTGCTTTCTCTCTCTCTCAAAATAAATAAACATTAAAAAAAAAAAGAATCCTGGAGATGCAGGGTGGTGATGCTCATACAGCATTGTGTACGTGCTTAATATCTCTGAACTGTATGCTTAGAAATAGGTAAGATGGTAAATTTTATGTGTATTTTACTACAATAAAAAATTGAGGGGAAAACACAATTCTCGAGAACCTGGAAGACAATAATGGAATGCTTAAGTCACGGGAATAAAAGGCACAGAATAAGGAATGCAAGTCAATGATGCCGTAATAGCAACAACTGGGGACAGACAAAGTGACACTTGTGCTGAGCAGAGCATCTCGTAGATTGTCCCATCACTAAGGTGTACACGGGAAACTAATATAACATTGTGTGTCAACTGCACTCAATCCGAGCTGTCAGCGCAGAGCCTGATGTGGGGCCCGAACCCAGGAACCACGAGATCATGACCTGAGCCAAAGTCGGACACTTAACTGACTGAGCCACCCAGGCGCCCTACGACTAAAAAAAAATTTTTTTAAAGAACATGAAAGACAAGAAAAGATCAAAGAATTCTTCTGAACTACAGACTCTAAAAAGGAGCCTTGACAATCTCATGCTACACGACTTCCTAGACAGAGTCCTGGACCAGAGAGGAGAAAAAGCCACTGTGGGGCGGCTGCTGAAACCTGGACGGGCTTTGTGAACTGGAGGTTAATGTTGCACAAAGCCTGGTTTCTAGGCTTGGAGGCTGGTGCGCTCGTCACGTAGGACAGTCTGTTTGCGAGACGTGCATGCTAGAGTGTTCTGTGGCACTGAACCATCACGTCTGCAATTGGCTCTCCAAACGTGGAGGCGGCGGCTAGAGAGAGGACAATGGGGCAGACAGTGTGATATAGTAAAGCTGGGCATCAGGTGAGGGGCGGGAGGGAGTTCTTCGCACACACCTGGAGGCATGCTGATGAAGGTCTCCGGGCCCCGTGCATCAGCCCATTGCATGGTCCGTTCTTTCTCCGCAAGGGCTCGGGCGCGGGCCTGAATAATATGCGTCTCCAACATTTCAATCTCCTCCAGCCGCTGCTTGTAGAGCTCCCGAATCTGACAGGTAGACCATCAAATGCACAGAAACATGGTGAGATCACAGAGCTGAACTCCCCCCCGCCCCCCAGCCTCTGGCTTCCTGGGAAACCGCAGTCGCAGGACTGTGGCGACCATCGGTCCCGCCCAGCAGGTGTGAGAACTGAGACCCACAGAGGGAAATGCCTTAAAGGTTTCACAGTAAAGTCAGGAGAAGAGCCAAGCCTGAGGCCCGCCCCTGCCCCCAGGGCGGACAGGCCTGCACGCGCAGGCGCCCCCTCAAGGCGGGACTCGCTGCCCAGCAGGGGAGCAGTGAGCGGCCAGCCCCGCCGCAGCCCCTTCAGTAGCCGCCCACCCTTCAGAGCCGCCCCTTCGGAGCTGACGACCCTTCAGAGCCGCCCCTTCAGAGCCGCCCCTTCGGAGCTGACGACCCTTCAGAGCCGCCCACCCTTCAGAGCCGCCCCTTCGGAGCTGACGACCCTTCAGAGCCGAGCGCGGCTGCTGGAAAGCGCCCCTGCGAGGCTCCTGTTCGGGCGCGTCCTCAAGTCTGGACACGGAAGGCCTAGGTCCCCACTGTGGTTTGGGATAGGAACACGGGCACCCCGACAGGGGCGACTTTTAGCTGCATGGCCTCCAGGGAACAGCCACTGAGCTACCTGCCCGGTCCCCGTAGTCACAGACGCGGTACGCAACTGTGCGCGTGCACGTGGGGACGGAGAGGGGCCGTGAACGGCACCCCCGGGGCCCAGCGCCCGGCAGGGGCAGGCGTCCGTCCAGCGGCTGGGGCGTGTGGGAACCCGCCTCTCGGGGTGCGCGCTGGGACCCCCGCGCCCCCGGCGAGGCGCGCCCGGGCCGCTTACCCGCCGCAGCTCGTCCACGAACGCCTCGTGGCGCGCATGCTCGCTGCCGCGGGCCTTGATCAGGTTCGCGCTCAGGTGCTCGCCGATCACCTCGCCGGCGTACAGGCCGCGGAAGAGGCCGCAGAGCAGGTGCGAGATGTCCTGGGAGCGCAGCGAGGCGGGGCGCACACGCAGCGGGTGCGGCTCGGGGGGCGGCTGCAGCGCGCAGGGCGCCGCGCGGCGGGCCCGGGCCCCGAAGCGGGAGCGGGGCGCCTCGGAGCCGGCGAGCGGCGGCGGCCGGGGGGACGCGCCGAGGCCGCGGCTCCCGGCCGGACGCGGGGCTGGCGTCCCCGTCGCGCCCCCGAGCGCGTAGGACCCGGGCTCAGCCGACCGCGGCTCGCCGGCTCTCCCCGTCTCCATGGCGACTGAGACGCCGCCAGCGCCTAGCTGCACTTCCGCTTCCGGCCGCGCCTCTTCCGCCTTGCCCCACCTTCGGCGGCGTCGCGGGAGCGAGCCAAGCGCGAGGCACCGCCGGGCGGCCCGGGTGCGAAGCCTGCTTCCCAAAGACCCTCTTCATCCGTTCATTCTCCTATTTGTTAAGCGATTATTAATTCGCTCATTTATTATTTATGGTATAAAGATTCTATTTCAAGTCTGTGTTGGAGCTGAAAATACCAAAGGAAGTAAGATGCTGCTTCTGCTCTCAGGCGCGCGCGCGCGTGTGTGTGTGTGTGTGTGTGTGTGTGTGTGTGTGTGTGAGTGAGAGAGAGACAGACGGACAGACGGACAGACCTGGAGGTGATGAGCAGGGAGCGACCTGGAAAACGGGGCTAGTCTCAGTGGGTTAAGCCCAAGGTGGCGATAAGCGTTGGTTATCGGGCAACCACAAAAGACAGGACTTCCTTCTGCAGAGGGGGTGTAAACAGTGGCTTTTTGGACGAAGTGAAGACCGGGCAGAGATTTTTTTTTTTAAATCACCATCATTAGTCATCAAGGAAGTGGAAACTATAACCACAGCGCCGTACCACGACACGCTTAGAATGTCAGGAAGTTCAATAAATGTGCCAAATGCGCGCTGGTGCAGCTGCGGGGGAACCGAATTCTCGCGTTGCCGTGGAGTACGAACTCGGACGGCGACTCTGGAAAACGGTGTGGCGGTTCCTTAGCACGTTGCAGACACAGCAGGCCCACGCCTAGTGTTTTCCGGAGGGAAATGAAAACTGCGGCACACAAAACCCTGTACCAAACGTTTACGGTGGCTTTATCCTTCACCCCCACACCTGGAAAAAACCCACGTCCTGTGCGCTGCCTGGAGGTACATCGCGGTGCGTCTATACGGCAAACTACCCAGCCCTAAAGGGGAAACACACTCCTGATGCAACAGCAGAGAGGAGTATCAGACGAATTATGCCAGGTAGAAGAAAGCATTCTCAAAAGGCTGTTTACAGAATGGTTTCACTTTTAGGACCTCCTGGAGAGTGCAAACCCGAAAACTCATCAGTGGTGGCCGGAAGCTGTCCTGGAAAGTCGCGCTGTCTCCCAAGGAACCTGAGGAAATTCCTTGGGACGAGGGAGCTGTTCCTTATTGTGTGGCAGTCACACAACTGTATGGCTTTGTCAAACCTCGCAGGACTACACAGGATAAATATTACTGTAGACAAATTATGCTCCGGTTTTTTAAAAAGTGAAGGAAAAAGAATAAGTAGGAATAAGCCAGGGGAGGAGGAAAAGGGACACTCCGGGCAGAGGGAACCCAGCGTACCAAAGCCAGGCGAGAGCTCCGCATGTGGGGGGAAGCGAAGAAGTGCAGGAGTGGGAGTCAGAGTCTGAGCAGGGGGAATGGAGCTGAGCGGCGAGGTCCAGACCATACGCCGGCTTGTAGGCAGCATCAGGGAATTTGAACTTGGCTCTGAGCACAGGAGAAGGGCCATCAGGGGTCCTTGGGTGGGGGGGTGTCCTGGTGAGCTCCATGGCTTGCTGAGATCGCTCTGATTGCTGAAGGAACAGCCTGGAGGGAAGCAAGAGGCTTCAGGACAATGGATCAGGGAATGATCGCAGAGGTTAGGAGAGAGACGGATTAGGAGTTTGGTTCAGGGAGAGGAACTGATTGGAGACATGTAAATGGGAGAATTCACAAGACCTGCTGACCGATAGTGGAAGGAAGAAAGAAGAAGAGCCCAGAATGACACCCAATACTGTGTGTGCGGGGGTGGCAGGGAATCCTCTCCACTGAAATGGGGAGGGGGTTCACGCTTGTCTGGGACAGCCCTTGACATCACGCAGACTGGCGTCAGCGCACGCTGGCTTCTGCTCACCGCGGATACAGCTGGCTGCTCCTTCCTCCCGGGGGGAGCCCGCGGGCCCCACAGCCGAAACCCTTCACTCCCTGAGATGAGCCGCGGGGCACTTGCCCACGACATGGGCCACTTCTGCTTCTCTTCCGTGGACCTGGCTCCCTTATCTGTCCTTTCCAGTACCTTCCCAGTCCTCAGAAGGCCCTGCTCTGGGTCTCTCCCCCAGCTGCATCCTGCACAGAGTGAGGAGACCGTGCCCAGCCTCCAGGTACCTGGGGCCCCAGAGTTTTTTGCTGAAACACCCTGAGCCCATTGACAGGTCCTCCGGTGCAGTCCTCTCTTTTTCTTTTTTTATACACATTATTTTTTTCAGTAGGCTTCACACCCAGTGCAGAGCCCAACGCGGGGCTGGAGCTCACGACCCTGCGACCCCCACCTGAGCTGAGATCGAGAACAGCGATCAGAGCAGCTAACCAACTGAGCCACCCAGGGGCCACCACAGGCTTCTTTTTGAAAGCCTCCTCCCGTCGCTGACCGGGGTGTGCACCGAGGAGCAGGTCTGGCGGGAAGTGGGAGGTGGGCCGAGCCTGGGCGCCCGGCTGGTTTGTCCGGTTACCCGGTTACCCGCACGGATGCAGAGCCCCAGGGCTGCGGGTGGGACGAGGAGAGGTCCGGGGGGGGGGGGGGGGGGGGGGGGGGGGGGGGGGGGGGCGCTGCTCCGGTGTTAGCAAGTCTTGTTGCTTAGAAGTAGTCCTTGTGGGGGCTCCCTGGTCCCCTTCCCAGCCTTGGGGAGAGACAGGACAGTGACTTCTTGCCATCACATTTGGCCTCTCGATGCTGCCTCCAGACGGCCTCAGAGCAGCTCCCAGGGGCTCTGCCCCAGCCTGGGAGAGTTCTCCCTTTTTCCGTGGCTCCTCCCACCCTCTGGCTCCAGCCCCTCTGCCCTATCCAGGCTGCAGTCTCCAGGACCAGCGGCCACTCCTCCGTCGTCGTCATCCTTGGCCTTTCAGCACTGTCTGCCGCCGCCTTGTCCTCTCTGGCCTTGCTCTCCCTCCTCTCCTCTGCCTCCATCTCCATCCTGTCCCTCGGCGACTGGCCTCTCTCTGCCTGAGAAGCTGGGTTCATCCCTGATTCGGCCTCCAGCATTCAGCTTCCGTTTGCCCTCTGACTGAACGAACTAAGTGAATGGTTAGTCTCTCTCTCTCTCTCTCTCTCTCTCTGTCTGTCTGTCTCAGAAATAAAGCATTAAAAAAAAATCTTAGAGTATTTATTCACGTGCCCACTAAAGAACTTCACCTTGTACAATGTTTTTGTTTGGTTTTGGTTTTGAAGTGTATCATTTATTTTGAAGGAGATAGAGAAAGAGCACAAGGAGAGGGAGGAACAGAGAGAGCAGGGGAGAGAGAATCCCAAGCAGGCTCCGCACTGTCAGCACAGACCCCGATGCAGGGCTCCATCTGATGAGCGGTGAGGTCATGACCTGAGCCGAAATCAAGAGTTGGATGCTTAACCGACTGAGCCACTCAGGCCCCCTTTACCTTGTACAGTGTTTCTGTATGTAATATACAGATAATGTCACAGAATTAGATAATAATATAATATGGAATTAGAATTGCTTAGCCAGAAGGTGTGTACTTGTTAATATTTGAGATACTGCCACACAGCCCTCCAGAAACTATCCCAGAGTAGATTTCCACCAGCGTTACATGAGAGCTGATGGGCGTTTTCAACATGTTTTCAGCCACATTCCAAATTTTATTCTCAGCATCTCCCTCCAAAACTCCAGATTTGTACATCCATCATGCACTTGAAAGGTCACCTTGGCTCTCTGAAGATGTCTCAAACTTAGTATGTTCAGAATAGAGCCACTCGGCTAACTCGGCCTTCCCCATCTCAGTTATTGGGAACTCCTTCCTGGGGCCCCGCGGAAAGCTTGGAATCATCCGGACTCCTCTCTTTATCACACAGGCCCCACTGGTAATTCCTGCCGGCTCCCCGGTCAGACTCCATCCAGAACCCTACCGCTTCTCATGACCTCCACGCCTCCCGCCAAGGTCTGAGCCACCATCTGCCTCACCTGATTCCTGCGCGAGCCTCGCCGCCCGGCTCCCTGCGTCAGCCCTGGTCCCTCCATGATACTCCTTCCTGCAGCCAGAGTGACTCCTTTAAAACATGGGTTGGATCGTGTCCCTCTTTGACTTGAAATCTTCCAAGTGCTCCCCATCTCTCCCAGCGTAAAAGTGGAAAGGAAAACCCTTAGAAGGCCCAGCAGAACCTGGTCCCCGTTACCTCTGGTCTCCTCTCGTTATCTCTCCCAGACATACTCCTGCCTCAGGGCCTTGACACTGCCTGTCCCTTCTGCCTAGAATCCTCTTCCCCAGATATCTCCGAATGGCTCTCTTACACGTCTTTGCTCAAAGGTCGGTTTCCCTGTAAGGTCCAACCCATTTAAAATGTAACTGTCTCCCTTCTAGAATTCCCTCACCCTACACACCTTGTAATACACAGTTCACTTCTTATGTTTATTATAGTGTCTCCTTTTGTTCTGTGAGAAGGTAAGCTCCCAAGGACAGGGGTTGGAGTGTACTGTGTTCACTGAGATTCCCGAGCGTCTAGAACAGTGCCTGGCACAGAGGAGGCGCCCAATAAATATTTGTTGAACAAATAAAATAGCAGAGTGGGGTCTTCTCCAGTTCAGAGATGAAAGTGTGCCCCTCCCTCACCGGAGGGTCCCCTGAGTGTCCCCCACACTTGTAGGATCGTACTGGGTTGGGGCACGCGTTGGAACTTAGTCCACAGTGAAATAAACATCACGGGTATGTTCACAAACGAATACACAATAAAAATCTCACAAACACAATTATGGAAAAGTGACCCAGGTCGTCCCCTATCATCCGAGGATTACCAATGGGCCCTGACACCTGCAGTCCGTCCCACATCCTGGCTCCCTGCCCGTCAGTACTGTCTTCCCGGCGAGTCTGAGCACCCGCACTTGTCACCGCTGCTTCCTTGGGAGCGGCCGCCTTCACTTTTCCTCCCAGTGCTCCAGGTGTGGGTCCAGGACCCTCCAGAGTGGGGCTCAAATGGGGCTGGGCTCAGTGGAGGGGGCCAGGCAGGGGACACCGGTGGGGAGGGATTCCAGTGTATGTCTGTCCAGCAGGCACTTGCTTGTACCACGTAGGGGACAGCTGTCATTTCAGCCGACTCCAAAGGAAACTGCGGCTCCGGAATGCGGAGCTCACAGATATGAAGGGGCTGCTCAAAGCCTCACGGCAGGAAACACAGAGCCCGTTCAAGCAGCGCCTCGTCTGGAGCCCAGGGATGAGCCCTGGGATGGGGGCTTCAAAGTCCAGGAGGGACAGACTCACCCTCCTCCGCCTCACCTACTCAAGCTTGTCTAGATTTGCATTTCTGGGGGACAGGTTGGGCAGGGCCTGTCCTAAACACAGAGGAGCCTGACAGTCCTGAAAGGTGACATTCAGGCTTTGATCCTCCCCCTCCCCAGGCCTCTCGAGTGGAGAGTGGTGGAGGGGCCAGGGGAAGCGCCTGGAGGTAGGCGCGACCCTAACCCTAGGGCTCACCAGGGCCCCTGTCTCCAGTCATCCCAGAAGCCCCTTCTCCTGCACGCACCCCTCCCCCACACACATTGGAGCCAGGACGGTCAGCTGAGGCGGAGAGATGCCACGGGGCGGCACGCTGGGCACGCGGGGCCCCTCTGCACGCTAACGAGCCTGCCAGTCCTGTGAGCCACCAGGGTCTCGGGGCATCTTGAAGAGGAAACGGAGAGCTGGGTTTCGGGGAGGGCAATTAAGGTGCCAGGCCAGGGCTGGGCCCACGGAGGGCCCTGCTTGTGTAGGGCAGAGGTTTGTGGTCAGGCACAAAGCCTCATGCTAGGCCCTCCCCACTCCCCCAAAGGCGCATAGTCACAGTGCCCGCGCAGGCTGGCACCCGGCAGAGGCCGGCGGAGTGCCTGTGAGGGAGGGCGGGGCAGGCAGAGAGGTGAGGACACACTGGGGTGGAGGCTGACCCTCGGGTCAGGGCAGCGGCCTGGTTGCTCTGTGCAGGGCGTTGCCCGGCCCGCTTTTCTGGCAGAGCCTGGTCGAGTGTGCCAACTCTGAGTCAGCCTTGCCTGACAGCCTCGGGAGGGGGCTTCAGGTCGTCTGCCCGCAGGAGCCTGGAAGAGGGCCTGAGTGGGGCCGGCCTGGGCACGTAAAGGAAGAGGCCGGCGACAGCCCCCACCGGAGGCACCTGGGGCAGAGGGAGAGGCGAGGGCCCCCAACAACGCTTGGAGCCTGGGGCTCAGAGCCGGGAGGTGACGTGAATAAATAGGAATGACGCTTGAGCTGCGGCCAAGGCAACTGCTGGTGTCGGAATGTCAGCGGGTCCCTGCCTGGGAAGAGGAGTGGGGCTGGGGGGGCCTGACTCGCTGAGTGGAGGGTATGGTGGCCCCGGAAAGGCAGAGCCCCCTAGACTGAGAGACACGGATAGGCGGGCGTGGCCCCTCACCCACCCTGCCCCCAGGCTCCTCCCTGACTGGGAGGGAAAGCAGAGGGCTCCACAGGCGGGGGGTGGAGGGGGTGGGGGGTCCTACTCAAGGACAGGACCACTGCAGGCAGTGCCAGATGCAGGACTAGGCCTTCTCTATGTGGAGGAGGCACAGGCAGGGAGGGGCTCCCCAAAGTCCGACCTTATGACCCAGTGTCGACCGTCAGAACAGTGAGATCTGCCCTCTGCTTACATCCCTACCCGAGGTAGAGGCCCGGCTGCCGGAAAGAGGAAGGGCTAGGGTGAGCCAGGCCTCCTCCTCCTCCAAAGGGGTCCAGCTGGCTTCTGCCAGACTCTCACATCGCCCCGGAAGCCCGGGTCATTCACCGGTAGGCCCAGCACCCTTCATCCTGGGGGGCCTCCTGGGGGCTCTCCCAAAGGGCGATGGCAGGAGTCCTGGACTTCCTGTGGGGTATCTGGGTCCCCTACCCCGAGGGTGTCTGGGTTGCCAGAGTTGAGGGGAAACAGGGACGGTAGGGGCCTCTTGTTCAGACAGCCCCTTGGGAGGCTCCCCAAAGAGGGGCCCCTGGAGATGGAACCCCACGCTAGGTCGTCCCTCCACCCTACTGCACAGGTCGCCAGGAGGCCGGGGTGTGGGAGGCGCACGGTGAGCCCCCTGCATCCAATTGCTGTAAGCTTTCCCTGCCGAGCCCCAGCCCCCACCAAAGGCGCTCTTGGGGTTAGAAACTTCCCACTGGGCGAGGAGGAGGGCCCCTCTCCGAGGACCCCCTAACCCGTGCACCCATTCTGCAGAGGGGGAAGCGGAGCTCGGGTGGGGGGGGACCTCCGCGGGCCGCCTGCACGCCCAGGCTCCCTGTCGCAGCAGCCTGGCTGGGCGTCGGAAGTTACAGGATCCTTTGCCCAGAATGACGCCCGATTCTTTGGAGCATCACCCCAACCCTGGCGAGGCGCGTCCAAGCAGGGCGTGGGGCAGGGCCGCCCGCAGTAATGACAGGGCCCGCGGCCTGTGGGTGGCGGCGGAGGAGCCCGCGGGAGGCATCCGGCTATTTCTGGCCGGGACGCGCCCACTAGGCCGGCCAGCGCGGCCGGGGGAGCCCGGCCCCCACCTCCGCGCGCCCGATCCCCTGGGGGGGCGGGGCGAGTCGCGGGTTGGCGGGCGCAGGGGGCGGGGCGGCGTCCCGGGCCCACCCCCGCCTCCTCCCGCCGCAGGCCCTCCGGGTCCCCGCACCGCAGTCGGCCCGCACCCCAGGCCGCGCGTGTGACCCGCGGCGCCCCCCGCCGCGCCGCCCGTCTGGCATGGACGCGGGCCAGGACTTCCTGACCCTGCACGGTGAGTTCCCGGCGGGCGGGCGGGGGGCCCGCGGCCCTCGGGCCTCTGTGGCTCCGGGGAAATCTCGGCCCCGGACTCTCAGGGTGCGACCGCCCCGAAGGCCGTGGGCGTCGCCAGGCTCGTCCCGCAGATTGGCCGGAGGGTGTGTGTGTGTGTGTGGGGTGACTCTGAAGACCTCCCTGAAGGCCCCCGCGACCCCGTCTCCAAGAGTCTCCCTTTCTCTGGTCTCAGAAGTCGGGGCCCCCGGGCGGGCGCGCGCGGAGTGGCGAGGTAGGGGGGGGGACGGAACCAGCATCCCCGAGTGACCGGGTTTTCCCCGCCCTGTCCCGGCTGCCCGAGAGGCTCCCCGAACCCCAGGCGTGCCCGAGCCGCGTCTGGCCGAGCGGGTGTGGCGCGGGGACGGGGGGGGGGGGGGGGGGGAGACAGGAGGAGGCGTGCAGGGTTGGCCCAGGTCGGGCCGGGCGCCCAGGGCTGCCCCGCGCGGGAGTCTCGTCAGCGATGCCCGAGCTGGAAGGAGCACCGCGGTGCCCGCATCCGCGCACCCTCGTGGCGGGGCCGGGCCGGTCTCACGGCCGGCCGCCCCACCCTTTTTCCTGCCGAGCTCTGACCCTCCGGCCACCGGGGAACCGTGCGCCGCCCCCCCCCCCCTCATCTTGCTGCCCCTCCAGGAGAAAGAGCAGCTGTGGCTCCCACTGCAGGGCTTGGCGGCCTTCCGGCAGGTCGGGCCCCCCAACCTGGTCTGGCCTTCTTTGCTCCAGCCCGGGGACTCACCCACTCTTAAGGGCGCCTTGCCCTCCTGGCTCCTGAGGTCATCTGCCGATTCGGCAAACCCTGCCTCTCCCGCCGTCACAGCTTAACCATATCTCCCTGCTCTCTGGCGTCCTGGGGTTGCCGACTTCAGTGCCCACCACTTACCCCCTAAACCATACAGGGAGACAATAGATGGGAAAGAGAAAGGCAGAGCCCTCCAGCTGACCCCTGGAGACCCCCTGGATTTCAGGGAGATAGATGCTCTTTTCAGCTGGCCCCCAGGCTGCTGTGTTTCCCAGTTGGCCTACACCTGGTCTCCATGGCCCAAAAAGACCTTGCTCAGTGCCCGGAGCTGTTACCCGCACACCAGTAGCCTGGGCTCCTCCAGGCCATCGTGTCCAGGCTCCTTTCCAGTGCTCCCTCTTCTGTCCTCAGACCAGAGGTGTTGTTAGTGCGTCCGCCAGACTGAGGAAGGGAGGCTGGATGGTTCAGAGGACCGCAGTAGGGATCTCTGCTTCCTCTCTCCTCCCTTGGTCAGTGCCGTCACCCCTGCCCTGCAGACTGCCGCGTCTTCCTCGTCTGTGTCACCCTCAGCTCTCCCGCGAGCCCTCTGGTCGCCTCTGGCACAGCTCATGTTGGACTGGGCTCCATCCTCAGGCAAATGTGCCTTTGTGCCACGTCCCTGGTGGGTCCCCTGGAGAGGAAGCTATGTGGAGGGATGTGGCCTGGGTTTGGCCACACTGGCCCGTTCAGTTTGAGACCTGCCTCCCAAATGCCCGTCTGTCCAGCCCTTCCTGGGGGTGGGCATGAGCACCACCATCCCAAGCTCTTCCTCTGAAGGCCCTCCCCCTTCTAGCGCGTCACCCGGAATCACATCCCTTGATTGCCTCTGTCCCCCCCCACCCCATATCAGGAGGAAGAACCTGTCAAGGA